TGCTTAAGTTAAAGCACCACAGCAAAACTCCTTAATAGAAAAAATGATGAGGAAGAATGCAGTTTTGTAGATTGTTAAAATCAGTTGGTGAAACTAAACAGTAGATGAAGTAGTGATACTAAGTGAAGAATGGTACAAAAGTCGCTGCCTAAAATAACATCAGACGAAGAAGCAGCACAGCAGAGTCCTTTGCCGTGCAGAATCCCTGAAATCTTGATATTTGGAAATGCTAAGTGTGATACAGGCATTTATGGTTCTTCTATCATGTTCTTTTTACCACCCACCAAATGACTGGGTTGTTGTTAAGTGCCACCTAGTTGTTTCTGACTCATGAAGACCCTGCTTAGGTTTTCCAAGGAGAAACTGATGGTCTTGAACCACTGACTTTGTGGTTAGCAGTCCAATGGTTATCCTGCAGTGGCACACTATAACCAGGAAATAGGGTGTATGGGACTCGAACGAGGGCATTGGCTAGTTTTGCCACCCACAAGGTCAGTGGTTCAAACCCACAAGACACTCTTCAGAAACCCTATACAAGGTCACTAGTCATTAGAACTAACTGTATGGCACTTAACAACAATAATATCATCTCTGAAGTGGGAACAGATGGTCCCAGGGTCATCAGGAAAGAAGAGCCTTTAGACCTTGAGATCCCTGCACATAGAAGTAGCAGCAGTGGTAGAGGCCGCAGCACAGAGACAGAGAGGAGGGCTTCCTGGCCCATGAATTGAGGCTGAGGTCAAGGGGCCTTGTGGCTGACAGACTGAGAATAGGAGGTGTACCAGGGTATGACGGAGAAGAGGCATTCCTGACAGAGAACTGTTGCACCCTAAGTTATTTCTTATCCTGAATTGTACCATGCAGCTCCCTTACTAAACCCCATAACTGTGAGTGCTATCTGTGAGTTGTGTGTGGTCACTGCAATGGATTATTAAACCCAGCATAGAAGTAGAGTGCTGTGGGAAGAACAGTTGGTGTTAGAATAAGATAAAGAAAGATAGAGGATGAAGAGATATCTAACCTCTGCCTCATAGAAATAAGTCTTTGGCTGACGTAATTCTCTTGATTGTTTCTTGTGAAGTTAGAGGTCAGACATGGCCTCCTCCCCATTTTTACACCAAATGAGATGAAAGGGGAAAAGTATGGGGATACTTAAAGGAATGCTGTTTCTCCAGTGACTTCAACACTCATGTGAAAATATCTCCATAAGTGACATTCACCTGGATGCAAAACAAGCAAACAAAAACAGAGTAGGATATCCTTCGAAAGAAACTTGTGGACTTTCTGCAGTGCATGGAGGCAGCATATGTTGGCATTAGCTAGACTAAAATTTACACAAACAAACAAACAAACAAAATCTAGCATTACCGCCATCAAAATGACCATGTCCCATCTTTTCAATACAAATGGATGCTTACCAATGGAAGCTTGCAAAATACTCCTGTATGTCACAGTTATCAGTCAAGTTATTATGGTGTTATTCCTATAGATGAAAGTCAACAAAGGGTCATAATATATTTGAAAACTGTGTTGTAGGGGGGGAAAAATCAAGAAAATAGGTAATAAAATAAAATTAAGGTAGATAGAAATAAGTTGTTAAAAATAAGAAGCCTTAAAAATTCTGAGTATGACTTTTGAGAAATCAGTAATTTCTAAAACAAAAAAACCCAGGATGTTATGGAGAAGGGTACATTAGAAAACAATAATCAATATTTTCCCCCTGCACATTAAATATATTATTCACCAAAAATATCCCCACATTGAATAGATGGGCTGGAAAATTTACTAGAAAATTTATCATAAATGAGGACATGAGTTTTCACATAGAAAGACCCAGTAAATACAGAGAAAATGGATGGTAATAGAAACCTTTACACTTATCATTTCAAAATTTTAGAACACTAAAGCTCAAAAGCTTTCAGGGTACGAGCAACCTTCAGGTAAACAAGGACCATATGCACATTAGATTTTACTTCAGAGCCTCAGTGTCAGTGTTCAATGGACTGATGCCTTTGATGCTCTAAGGAAAATTATTTTTATACTAGGAATTTATAATTCTCCAAATTATTAATCTATAATGAGGTTAGAATAGCTATACTTTTTAAATAAATGAAAATAAGACCTGGAAAAATGACCTTACTTAAGAATTTACTTAAAGTGATTTTCCAGAAGAGCAAGGGTATAAGAAAGACAAAAATATGGGCTCTAGGAATTCCTGGATTTGATTCAAAGGAATAATAATGAATGTGGCAGGAAGAGAGAAGGGAACAAAGTGCTCTGCAAGGAAAGAATCCTGCCAGGAAATAGACAGTTAGGACATTTGGATTGAAGTGGCCAAGTAAGGTAAAATTAAGGAAAAAAGTGAGAAAGTAAGTTATTCAGAGGAAATATCTGAGATGAGGGAAAATAAAAAAGTAAAACAACATATCTTAATTTTGTGTGTGTGAAGTGAAACTATTATCTGATTAAAATGCAAACTTGCTTACAGATTTTTAACTTACAGAATCAACTTTGAGCCAACACATAAAATATTATGCTATGGATACAGAGTATCTGGCAGCGTAGTGGTTACAATCCGGCTGCGAACCTTAACGTCAGCAGTTCAAAACTACCAGCTACTCTGCGAGAGAAAGATGAGGCTTTCAGCTCCCGTAAAGAATTACAGCCTCAGAAACCCTGTACAGGGTCGCTATGGGTCGGAACCGATTCGATAGCACTTAACAACAACAACAATGGATACAAAGTAGAAAAAAGGATTTCCTACCATCCAATATAAAAGTAAAACTATATAGATTATAGAAACTGAAATGGAGATGAGTGGAAGGGTAGCAAAAGGGCACTGGGGACATTATAGCACCTGAGGATACAACAGTCCCTTCTGCTATACATCAAGTTATCATGAGTTGGAGCCACCTTGACAACAACTGAAAACAACAATATAGCATCTATAGTAGGCGGAATAATAAATAATAATGTACCTATATTATTTAAAATTAAGGAGGTCTGATAGCGTAGTGGTTACAAATCGGGCTGCGAACCACAAAGTCAGCAGTTCAAAACTATCAGCTGTTCCAAGGGAAAAAGATGAGGCTTTCTGCTCCCATAAAGATTTACAGCCTTGGAAACCCTGTACAGGGTCGCTATGAGTCAGAACCGACTCCACTGTATATAACCACCACCACCATTATTTAAAATTATATTAATTAAATAAACCAAAACCTCATTTTTTCATATGATAAAGGAAATGCAAACTTGCTTACAGATTTCTAACAATAAATTTAGCAAGCCAACCAATAATACTAGAGCAAGTAAAACCAGAAAAAACTTAGTGCAAAGAGTGACATTGTGTCTCAAGGGAATGACAGCTTGAATGCTTTGCTGCACATATCCAGGTACATTACTGTACCTGTTGTTGTTGTTGTTAAGTGCCATTGAGTTGGTTCTGATGTATAGTGATCCTGTATAGGATTTCTGTATATCACTGGATGGGCTTGAACCACTGACCTTACAGTGCCAAGTCCAGGGCTTAACCTACAGCACCACACCAAGACTGTAATTGTACCTAGGGCAATACTATTTGTGCAATAATAAATAAATATTATATGCTCCCCAGTTTCAACTAGCCATGCATGCACACCCACACACACATACACACAGAGTCTAAAAGATCACACAGCATGCATAGTTTCCTCCTAGGAAGGAAATGAGGTGTTCGCGAAACAATAGGAGAAGGAGTATCATTTTAAACCACTTTAATTTTGAACCATCTGAAAGTATGGAATATTCCAATAGTAAATCCAATTTTAAAATTAAAAGTGAGCAGTTCCTTTTGTAAAGGATAATTGGACATGGGAATATATTGGGCAAAGGATTATTTTTTTCACTATCAAAAACCAACAATAACATTTGACTTTTTTATTTTTTATTTTACTACTTCCATATGTTATGAATGCATACATGTGTGCACAAACACACACACACACACACACACACACAATTGTTGATTACCTACTGCTCTCCCCTTGATTTGGTGCCCTGGTGTCTCAGTGGGTTGTTAAGTGTTGGGTCGCAAACTGCAAGTTTGGAGGTTTGAACCCACTAGCCACTTGGCAGGAAACAATGAGGCTGTCGTCTATAAAGATTTACAATCTCAGAAAACCTATTGGAGTAGTTCTCCTTGGCTGTAAAGGCCCACAGTGAGTTAGAACTGAGTTACTGTCAGTGGTTTTTTGTTGTTGTTTGTTTTTATTTTATCTGCCTGATTAATGTTTATTCATCTTTCAAGGATCTGGTGAAGCAAATTCTGTGAAACTTTTCCTGATTCCAGGTTAGGATCTCTACTGCATCAGTAAGTTAGAGGGTGCTGGGAGCAACTAAACTGAAGGTCTCAGATTTGGGGGCAGTTTAACAGAAGGAATGTAACTAAACAGTTGTGGTCCAGAAAATTGGTCTGCTCCCAGGTCATGCTGCCCCCTAAGGAACTTGCAAAGCCTGCTTCAGGGCACAAGGAATTTGCAAAGACTTTCCTTGTACGTAGCCATGGCCTTCAGTTTAGTCTGCAAAAACATCTAGCTGCCTTATCTCTGTTTCCCTAGCAACTGCATTCTTCTGATAGAGTCCCACTTATTGCTTGCATCAATACACCAAATGTTTTTTGCACTCTTTCCCCTGCCTCCAGCACTCTCCTTTGCTATGTGTATATAATGAACGTGCTGGACCTAGGTGGGGAGTCACAGTATCTCCATCAGAGTGCTGTATCCCATCTGGTCCCAACTTTACTATTTTCATTTTGTGTCTTGTGTCTTCCTTTTTTCTAATCTTCCATTGCCCCTGCTGGGGTTTAATCTTTCCATGCGGGTTGTGGAGTGTAGCCAATTGTGAGACACTACAAGAGGGAAATCAGGTATATCTTTTATCTCAATTATGCCATTTTAATTTCATGTTTTATTATTTTATTTTACATCTGCTTCTTTCACTAGACTAAGTAACTTTCTTGGGATTTAGTTCTCTTTGGGTTTCCAGAATTTCATTGCCACTTGGTGTTTTGCTTTGTTTTTCAAATGAAATGCTTCTAGTACTAAAGGTATAAGCCTAGTCCTAGAGCAAGGACTATCTGAAGGTAATGGTATAAATGCTTTAGCTTTGTCTATTCTAAAAAGAGAAACAGTTTTTTCTTTTTGAAATATTTGTGGGACATTTAAAAAAAAATCTATTATTTTAATTTTCATCATTGACCTTTTAAACAATGTAGTCATTTGCTCCATGAGCCACTCCCTCCATCACCCCACGACCCGCACCCCAGAATCTTGCAAAATCTTTTGCCATAGTCAGGAAAGTTTTATCTCTCTATAAAAATACCTTTTCTGAGATCTCATGTCAAACTTTGCTTAATTCTATTGGCAACCCATTTTCTAGACATGTAGGACCTACAAAAATGAACTACTTGGGTTCTCCGCCTACCTTTTGAGCTATATTTCTTCCTATTGCCTGCATGCTTTGCCTCGTCATGCATCCTCACATAGAGCCTCTTTGAGTTTTCTCTTCTAGCCCTGTTTACTTCATTCTCTATAAATTCTTCTTCAGTGATTTCTTCCATGTGCCTGGTACTGAATGCACCTTTGTGACAACAAATCTTTCATCAATTCACTCCTCTAATGCTCTACTTCTTTCTAACAAATTCATCTAACTTTTTGACATGGATAGCCTAGAGTCCATTTCATTTCTCTCACCACACATCCAAACAGTAAACACATGAATCTTTGTTCCACCCACATCACAAAGGTACTTGCTGTTGCAAAAATAATCAGACTTTCCTAATTCCTAATCTAATGCACACCAGTTCTTATTTTTATAGCAATAGTTCAGCATTCTCATGCTGAACTTCTTTTCTCCTTAGCTTTATAGTTTTGCCTACAAGACAGATTTTTCATGGTTTTCTTTGCTAAATCTTACTGCCCTGTGTCTGGTCTTTAGTTGTGTTGCTACTCTTAGTTGACTGACTGCCTACTACTTTTACACACAGTCGTAATTTAATTATGTATAATTATAAGGTTAGCAGTTCAAATGATACCTCATGCTTCTCTGATGGATAAAGATGAGGCATTCTGTTTCCACAAAGAATAAAAACTTCAGAAACCCTATAAAGGGTTGTTATGAGTCAGAACTGAACGGATGGCACTTAACAGCAATTAAATATATTATAATCCTCAAAATCTTGTCTAAGAATGTGAACTCACACAATCTACCCCTGAATGACTCTCTTTCAATGGTCTTTTGTCCCATAAACACCTGATGCAGATCTTTATTCGGCCCTGAAAAAACTGGAGTGTTTACTTCCTAACAGTTAGATTTTCTCTGTTACAAAAGAAATGATCAAGTTTTATTCTCCTTCTTAGACCATTAATTCTGGCACTCAATGGCCTTTATGATCTGGTATGAATCCATGTTTCTCATAGTGTGTACCCCTTATCTTCTTCATATAAACTATTTTAAACCTATATAAAACTACTTTATCTTATCTGAGGATATGGTAATGGTTGATGTCTTTGCTCATCTTGACATCTTTTTCAGAAGAAACTACATCTTGAGCATCACCTAAGTGCTAGGTACTTCTTTTTAAAGCATATTATAGGATATCTCATTACTGTATATTACCAACTTAATACATCAGCATTTATCAGACTACTCCCATTTTACAGAGACAAATCGAAGGTGCACAAATGTAAAACAATTTGCCCATTCCACATGCTTAGAAATTGACTGAGATGGACTCATAATTGTTACAAACCATTCCCCGTTTGTAAATACCTACTCATGATTTAAAAAAAAAGTATGATCTAAATGTCTTGTCTCAGTGAAACCTTCTCTGATCTCATTAGCCAGAAATGTCCACAGATACTGCAACCTCACTTTCACACCTTGAACAATTCCCATTCATATTACATGTCTCTGTGTACTTGTTTTCAACTTTTGGCAGATTTTGTTTATTGAAAGGTAAGAATCAATTACTATAAAATGGGGAATATTCTATTATGGAAAAATCTAGTTCAGTGAGATACTCTGAGTTGTTTGCTACACTAACTAGGTTAAAGTCCTCTTTTGTTGTTGCTGCTGCTGCTAAGTGGCATCAAGTTGGTTCTGACTCATAACGATCCTTCTGAGAGTTTTCAAGGCTGTAAATCTTTGCAGAAGCAGACAATCTCATCATTTTCCCATGAAGCAGCTAGTGGGCTCAAACTGCTTATCTTGTAGTTTGCAGCCCACTGCTTATTTTACAGAGCCACTATATTCTCCTAGAGACCTCTTTTGTTGTTATTAAGTGACATAGTGACCTTGTATATGGTTTCTAAGGAGCAGCTGGTAAGGGTTGAACTGCTAATTTTGGTCAAGTGCTTATCCTACAGTACCACACAAAGACTTCTAAAGACCTTTGGTGCTGTTGTTGTTAAATGCCATCAAGTCTGTTTCGACACCAGAGGAGTGGCTGGTGAACTTGAACCGCTGACCTTACGGTTCAAAAGGACCTTGCAATCCAGCGCATTAACCCACAACACCACACCAGGACTCCTTTAATACATAGAGATGTATCCATTAAAATAAAACTTGATATTATTGATAGTTTCCCACACATTTTATTCTTCTTAGAATATTCTATTCTGCTTGATGCCAATTACATGGATGTTTTTAAGTGTCAAAGAGTTTTTAACACATTCCTAATTTGGAGATTTAGAGTAATACTTTGAGAGCTAAAGGCAGCATAATGGAAAAGTGAAGAAAAATTAATTACTCAAATAAAGGCACCCTAATCTACTCTTAACAACAACAAAAAACAGTGTGAAGTATATAATATCATGACCAGTTAAATCACTATTTAAAATTAAATCATGAAGTAAAGCAACAATGACGTATATATATATTTATTTATTTTTTAACAAGGAGATAGGAAGCACAGAGATGTTATACCAATGACTAGAAAAGTCTTAATTGTATTCTGACAGTAAGTACTTCAGCACTTCTAGCCAATTGAATAAATATAGTTAAACTTTTCAGTATGCAGCACCTTAAAATGTACAGTGGTCACCACTTGGGAGAGCTTCAGACAGTTTTATTTGTCTTGTGCAGAATTCATAGAGCAGAAGTAAATTTTGTACAAGTAATCATGCTTAGGTGATAATAGCCTACTTCAAGTGACTCTTTTCCAAGAAATGAATTTTTTACTTTCTAAAAAACTTACAAGTCAGGGATCTGTACACTTGAGAATTCATTCTTGAATTTGTTACAATCATTCAGGTCAACAGCACTTTTAAAACCTTCATAAGACTTCTGAAATTTGTCTTGGCCATATGTCTAAATATATGTAAATACAAACATTCAGAGCAATTAACTGGGCAGTAGGGGTAACTGTGATGAACAAGCAAGTCACTGTGATACCTCAATTAGTGATAATGACAGCTGTGTACTTAATTCCCTTCTACTGCTCTTAATTTTTATCTCTTCTGTGGGTTCCATTTCAAAGCATTTTATTTTTACGCCAACAACCCCAAAGCTTGGGTATTTTCACTTACTTCTGTGATGAAGGATTTGGCTGTGGCAGGATTCATAACAAGGATGGCTCGTCTAAGAGTATCTCGATAGCGATTCAGTTCTTCTATCCGCATGGTGTCAAAGAGAGTGGTGATCATTTTATTGATGTTGTTTTCTACCTTCTGAAGTGCAACATCCATTCCCTGCTGAGATACTTTGTCCAAAAACTCCTGTATTCCACGGATATCTAGGAACATCAAAAGTTAATTAATATGTGAGCAAAGAGACAGAATCTTGCTCATATATATCATAATAATTCATTTTTAAGTATTATGGGATGTATCAAATACGAATTGAGTGGCTGTTGAAAACCTCATATATGTTTAAGGTGTAGTAAAATTTAATGTGTTTACAGAAAAATGTAAAAAGTGTTATTTTAAAGTAGCTTCATTCTCTCTATTTAGCATTCTAAATAACCTCTACTATGAAAAATGAACCAGATGTGTGATGTGGATTTGTGGGAAAGGATTCTCACTTTACTAAACCAAAACTGGAGAAAGAAAGCAACATTCCTGTTTTCTTCAGCATGAAATGTATTAATCTCAGCTAAAACATGGATATCTTTGATGACAGATGAATCAGAACTAAGTTTACCAATATTTCTTAAAATAGGGAACAACATCACTGAATTTCACATTTGCTATCTAAATAGGGAAAGGGTTTTGAGAAGATATCACTGAAGGATCAAAAAGCACTTAGACTGTAAACAAAATCTGGGAAACTTGGTTGGTGGGAGACAGAGCTTCTCTTTCAGAGCATGGAATATGTGCTTTGTATGTAAGACATAATCTTAAAAAGATATGTCAATCTTTTAGGGGTCGGTAAGCAATGAATTTAGAATGCCTGGCCATTACCAGAATGTACACATTCTCATTCCAAAATCGCAAATTTTTGAAAGGCTGCCAAATAAAAATGTCTATGTCAGTTTCTCATTGAATAATAAAGGTAAAATCCATTCTAAATAAAGTACATACATATTTGTATTTTTATGTATATTTAAGTAATAAGTCCTGGTGTGGTGCTGTAGGGTAAGCACTGGACTGCTAATCACCAGTCGCTCATTAGAAACCCTACAAATGGCCACTACGAGTTGAAACAGACTTGACAGCACCTAACAACCATAATAACAAATAATGTTGGAAATGTTACAAATATTTCTTTCTAGTGTAATTTTTAGTATACATAGAAGAGATCTGAACTATTAAAAAATTACTAGAAAATAAGGGTGACACAATATAATATCCACATAGCAGATACACTGTTACTATATCATCAATTATGTTTTTCATTATTACTCCATGGTATAAAGTCTTAAAGACAAAAATTGGTCAATTATTGGATGTGAAAGGTATGGAAGCATGCTGCTTTTTCCTTCACATTCCTTATGATGTGTGATGGCATACATACAAACTTTGTTTATCAAGTGTAGTAGTTTACTTATCTTTCTAACATATTAAGAATGAAAAGAAATTAGTAAACCCATAGAATAATAAAACAAATAGCCACAAATTTGGAAATGGATATTTTCTTGGTTCTGATCTTTATAAATTAGGATTATTTCATATACTAGATTCCACTAACACATAATGGAGTCCTGGTGTTGGATCAGCACTGGACTGTGAAATACAAGATCAGCAGTTTAAACCCACCAGCTGCTCTTTGGAAACCATATGCATGGTTTCTGTGAGTTGGAAGCAACTTTATGGCTCTTAACAATAGCGATACTTAATGCCATGATATAATAAGTATTGGCTTTTTATGTTTTATGGCTTATAAATTAAATATTATTATTAAACTTCTAAGCATTTTGATAGCCTGACATGTTATAATTTTAAAAAAGATATAAAATCATGTTAAAATTATCAGAATCTGTCACTGTGTAGATTACTAGTTAATGCTGTGACTAGTTACTCATAAGGAGCTCTGGTAGCGTAGTGGTTATGAATCAGGCTGCTAATCTCATGGTCAGCAGTTCAAAACTACCATCTGTTCTGCAGGAAAAAGATGAGGCTTTCTGTTCCCATAAAGATTTACAGCCTCAGAAACCCTGTACAGGGTAGTTATGAGTCAGCGCCGACTCCACAGCACATAACAACAAGTTACTCATAGTAAAATTTATATTGGCAAGGTAACAAAACAGTCCTAAAAACTATCTTTTCTTTTTTTGATGCATGTGTTCATTTGCCTGATGACTTTTAAAACTCGTCCTGTACAAGTCTTACCTTATATTTCTTATTACTGACTTTAGAATTATAGAATGTTGGCCTCAAAGTGGTTTAAAGGAGTAAAAGCCTCAGCTGGAGCAGAGTGTGCAATAAAAGAACCAGGACATTAAAAGTACTATGTAACTATTAAATGTCCAAGTTAGAAAAGTGCATAAGACACTCAAGCAAATTTAAAAAGGAGTTTAATTCAATGGAACAGGGTAAACACAGGAAGAACTTTAATAACAGGTTTATATAGACACTAAAGGTGGAATTCTTGAACTTTGATGTAAATCAGAATCTGGAGTCTATTACTATAAATACAGAATCCTGATTGCCACCCCATGCAAACATGGAATAAGGTTTTGTTGTCAGGAGGACAGTATCTGTATTGGGCTACCCATCACTGATACTTGCCAGTAGTCATGCTTGGGTTTTCCCTTAGTGAATATCATACACCAGGTATAAAGAACTCGTCACATAAACTGGTCATACATAACTAATGCTGGTTTAAAAAGTTTGAAGAGTCAAGGGATATATATATATCCCTGCTATACACTGTTAGTAGATGTTGATGATTGTCTCAAGACAGTTTTAAGCACTAATAGCATTGGTAATGTGGAGATCACAGTTCCTTACCTTATTAAATTCTCATTGTTTCTGAGACAAGGTTAGACTAAACCTGCAGGTGTTGTCTGAGTAGGTCCCAGAGTAGGTAGTGATTAGCTTCACAGAACTTTTTGAAGTAGGTCAGAACCACTACATTTCATTTAACAGAAAAGGAAGGTCAGATTTAGAGAGTTTAGTGATGTCTACAGAATCCCATAGCTATTAAGTGTAAGATTCAATTACATTTACTTTACAGTGTATAAAGTCAGAACCCTTTCCACAGAACTGATATTGAGGTCAAAATCTTGGTAGACAATGATTACCCTGTGACCTTCTATGTGCCTTCTCCATTATGATACAAAGATCTACTATGAGAATATGTGTCAGATACATGCTTGACTTTGAGCTCTAAGTTTCCCTTTTTGTTGTTATTGTTACATTTTAATTTCAGTTACATATAATTGCATCTAAATATAAGGGAAACAAAATAGGATTCACATAGATATAAGACCTTTGATGTTAAGAAAATATAATACCACCAGAGCATAATGTTAAAGAGCATTCATGCTTCATGAAATGTTTTGATAAAAAAAAAAAAATAATGTACCTTGGCAATTACAAATTTAACTTTGAGAGAAAAAATATTTGTGCAAATAAATATTATTTGAGTCCCATACAAAGCTACATGTTGCAATAAACCAGTGAATACCAACCCCAAAATCTAGATACACACTATATAAGTAAACAAATTAATAAATGCGAATCAAAGTGAGTTCTTAGAAGAAAACAATGAGTATGTTGTTTTAGATAATAATGGGTCTGCTCAGATGGAGTTTCTATTTGAATTACAAGGCTCAAAGAAACCTCTGAAAAGCTGATGTTTAAGCCTTAGTCATACTGTGGTGGCTTGTGAG